AACAATTACGAAGCTCACCGAAGGTTTCCGAACAAAGACTGGCGATGGCGCTAGTTAGTTCGTAAATTGGAGCTGTTATACAATTTACGCATTTCGCTCGTTCATCCGATTAGTTTTGTGAGGTCTTTAAAATGAAACAGCAAAAGGTTGAAGCTTTTCCCTCGGTATGGAATCAACTAGAAGAAAAACAAACGAGTTTCTGCCATGACATGGAGGTCTAGTATATGGAGCATGCTTCTCGTCTCTTTAATTTAACGGGCTCGCTGATTTTATTTTTGGAAAAGCCCGCCCATTGTTTACGTAAATTTATAAATTGTAAACTTTAACATGTTATTGTAAACTTCATTCTAATGATCAATTTTCTTTTGAGGTCAGTTTGCCTGTNAGATAGACTTGTTCACATTTTTGTATTTGCTCATAAGTCGTCTGCATGATCAATTGGCCTGTAATGGGCCATCTAGAGTATTGACAGTTTTGCCTCGATCAAAAAAGGAATTGAAACCGTGCACAGCCGAACAATTACGAAGCTCACCGAAGGTTTCCGAACAAAGACTGGCGATGGCGCTAGTTAGTTCGTAAATTGGGGCTGTTATACAATTTACGCATTTCGCTCGTTCATCCGATTAGTTTTGTGAGATCTTTAAAATAAAACAGCAAAAGGTTGAAGCTTTTCCCTCGGTATGGAATCAACTAGAAGAAAAACAAATGAGTTTCTGCCGTGACATGGAGGTCTAGTATATGGAGCATGTTTCTCGTCTCTTTAATTTAATGGGCTCGTTGATTTTATTTTTGGAAAAGCCCGCCCATTGTTTACGTAAATTTATAAATTGTAAACTTTAACATGTTATTGTAAACTTCATTCTAATGATCAATTTTCTTTTGAGGTCAGTTTGCCTGTAAGGGAATCTGCTTCTCTCTTTGGGTCGTCACGCCATCTCCGTCACGCCATCTCCGTCACGCAATCTTTCCTGCTTAACGGACTCTCGTTGACGAGGAAAGATTGCGTGACGAATCATGACAGCGTCTGACG